TATTTAACCAATTGCTGCTGTTTGGTTGTGACGTATGTAATGCGACGGAACGCTCAGTGGTGTCCAAGTAATTTCCAGAACAACAAGAAACAAAGTAGAGAGTGAACACATCTGTCAATGATCATTGTCGTTTCTGCGAGGTGAACTTGTGAATTTAAGGTGCAATAAAAAATGCAAAGATATATTTAGATTATATTTGACATAAGAAGTCCAAAGGAGGATAACGTTTGCAGTCTGCTATCGCAAATCGGGTTGTTTGAGGTCTTCACTGATTGGCTTGTGCGGCGTCTACAACTTCCCAGGTTCTTGCAAACCGTCTAGTGTATTCTGATTCGTGACCTAGTTGAGAAAAAAGAAACTGAGCGGAGGCTTTAGGTGGCGCAGGCCTGGCTACCGGCCGTCAAACACCAGAGTTATAAAATCTAAATTTTCGGTGAAATTTGTAGAGTGTCAATGAGTTTCAAGAGTCTGCCTCAAATAAAGAGACATCCAACTAGAGACATGAACACAGCATGAAAACATCTCGACTGGTCAAAACTATTTAAAGTCATAGTGTTTAACTTTCTGGAGGTAGAAAGTCAAATAAAAAAGTCAAATAAAAAGCTAAACAATTCTCAATGAAAATAGATAAGTTCATGGCATATACTGTGGAACTGTACAGCCAAAAGAACAACATTTCCATGGAAACAAGCAGGAGGAGACCAAATATGAGTCAGGTTTGTGGAGATGCAAGCTCGCTCACAGTAAGAACGCAGATTTTTTTATTTTTTTAGCACAATTAAAACCTCCTTAATGAAAAACTACCTTTTATTTTGGTCTATTTCATCTAAAAAGTTGCATACTGTGGCTTTAAATCAGTATATTAACCCATGTTCTGCGTTCAGAGCTTTTACCGGTGTGGACTTCTTCTCCTGGTTGCAGTGGGGAGTCTGTGGGAGGCCGGCTCTGAGTCTGGGCGTCTGAAACATGACGTCAGTTTCCGGCTCCATCTGCACCATTAGGACCTATCAGCCGCTAATTGCCTGTTTGATCAACTCTCCGTGGACCTGCAGCCGAGGCTTTTAGGTCCGTTAGAGGACAGACCCACGGACAGAGGATACAGATCCGCTCCTCTGCTCCACTTCATTTAGACTTTGTGTTGGAAGGTAAAAAAAAAAGAAAAAAGAATGGAGATTGTCAAGAAGATTTTGATTTCTTGTTTTGGTTTCTCGTGAATATTCCGAAGCATTAAAGGGTCTATTTTACCATATTTTCTCATGTGGTAATGTTGTTTCCTCATCATAAACATAACCACAGCTGTGTTTTGTTTCATTCACACGTTTTAACATACAAACCCTGCAGATTTAAGCTGAAACACTCAATTCCACCTTGTGATGTCATGTGGTAATACAAAAGGTGTTAAATTTTGTGTTTTTAAAGTATATATCTTCACTTCACTAGAATAATTTGGATCATTTCAAACCTGGATTTGCCACTAATCTCTACTCAACTAAAGGTAAAAAGAGATAACTACCACTTCATGACATCACAAGGTGGAACAGAGCATTTTGGGCTTTGGGGAAGTGGACAGACAGACATGTGATTGAAACAAAACACAACTCCAGGTCTGTTTTTGACAAGGTAACAATTATAAGACCCTTAACAAACAGAAAAACAAAAAAAAAAACTTGAAAAAATAAACACTCTCTCTGTAAGGGAGCTCGCTCTCCAGAGATCTGACCTGTAATTTGACCCAGACTCATCACCTGCTTGTCTCTATGATGATAAAAAAAAAGTTTAATGATGTAGGAATTTTGATTCATAGTTAAGTAAGTGTTAAGTTTGTTAATTTTTAAACACTCAAATCTTGCACATTTAGGCTGAGTTCTGAAACTGAAAACACTCCTTTCCACTTTGTGATGTCATCAACTGGCGATGCAGAAAGGGCTCCTTTGCGTTTTTAAACTCCATACACCTTCGCTAGAATCATGTAGATAATTTCAGCCCTGTCTTCACTGCACAAAAGGTATAAATATAGTTGTTAACTTAAGAACTAACACTGCATGACATCACAAGGTGGAACAGTCCAATAATAAAAGATTACTCAGATGTGTAATCGAAACAAAACACAACTCTAGGTCTGTTTTTGAGGAGGTTACAATTATAAGAAATGTTTAAAATAAAAACCAGCACTCTCAGTGTAAGGGAGCTTGCCTCTCCAGAGATCTGACTTGTAATTTGACCCAGACTCATCACCTGCTTGTCTCTATGTCGATAAAGAAGTTTAACACCGTACTGTAGGTGATGCAAATTTTGATTCATAGCTGAGTTAAGTTTTGTTTCATTCACACGTTTTGTGGACAAATCCTGCACATTTAGGTTCTTCTCGCAAACTGAAAACACTTCGTTCCACATTGTGATGTCATCAAGTGGTGATACAGGTGTTTTTAAGCTCCACACACCTTCACTAGAATCATGTAGATAACTTCAGCCCTGGAATTGCAGATCTCTACTGAACCAAAGCTAAAAGGAGTATGACATCACAAGGTGGAACAGAGCGTTTTGAGCTTTGGAGATGAAGACTAATAATAAAGATTTACTCAAACACGTGTGAATGAAATGAAACCCAAGTCCAGATCTGTTTTCGAGGAGGTCTAACACATCTTGAACCTCACACGAGTCCATTTTGCGTAATAAAAACCTTTCAGAAACAACGGCTTCAAGTCTGGACCATAGAAAAGTCGCCACGTGGAGTCTGTATCCGGGCAGAAAAGAAGTCGTGAGGCGTGTTTGGCGACAGAATGACTTTGTAAGGAAATCCGACCACAGCGTCAGGGCATCAGGGCTAAAAATAACACCAAGACAAAGAGAGGCTTCAACAAAACACCATACACACACACACAGGTACTCCCTCCAACATTTAGATTCTCCTCGTCCCACACTCGTCATCGCTTTCTCTCTCTTCGTCGTTTAGAAATCAGAGCTTAAACAGTGCACGGTCTCTTTCTTTTCTGTTTTTTTTAATAGATGTGCATAAAGTCATAGATAAATCCATCGTCTTTCACTTTGAGAGGCCGTTTTGGAAAGCACCTTGGTCCGTTGCCTTCTGCTTGTCTGTTAAGATTGGAGGATTAAAGGCAAGTTTCTGAACAATAAATAAATAGATTTTGTGGAGTTTGCGGCTGAAGGCAGGAGGAGCGTTTTTCATCTGGAAGGCTGAGAGGCAAGGGCAGGTGTCAGTCACAGGCACAAAACAAGCTTTGGTCCCTCCGGAAATGGAGAAAAAGGTACGATACGGTGAAGACGCATAGTTGTAGGTTCAGCCCAGAGAAGGTGTACAGGGTTTGGATATGTGGAAGAGTCAGGAGGAGGAAGTTTGTGTCAAAATAATGTGAGTTAGTCACAAAAAATAAGTCCAAAATAAGCAATGTGTGGTCTCATACTTTGATACTTTGACTTTAAGCATCTGTCAACACCGATATTAACCAGTGTAGGGACTGAAAATGGCAGTTTTTTTCTTAAAACCCACTTAACTTCTTACACAAGAGATGAAACTGTGTAATGCAAATGTGATTTATCTCTCAAAACACCACCGGACGCTTTCTTATGAATTAAAGTTCAAACGTTAAACCTGTAAATAATCTTATTACATCCAGTTAAAGGCCCAACCAGGACATCTGCTCAACCGATATCAGGGAACCAACACCTGGTCCAGCAAATTTTCTTGGATTGGCACCAATATTTGATACCAGTAGGGGTGTAACGGTACATGTATTTGTGCCGAACCCTTTCGGTAGTGGACGTTTGGTTCGGTGCATGACTGTGCATGAGTGAATTCACACAATCTGTGTGTGTTTACATTCGGCCACTGCATGTGCCGCTACACGGAGGCCCAGCTCTTTAATATTCACGAGGAACTCGTTTGTGATTGGGGCAGTGTTTCCGGCGGCACTTTATAGTTTGGGCAGCTGCCTTGACAACAATCGCCCCCCACCTTGATTACGTTCCTCTGAACCACGAGAATCCTCGCAAAACTACGGTCGTCACGCCTGGTCCTCACTTTGCATTTCTTTTGTTTTTCTGTTTGTATAACGTTAAAACAAACTGTAGGTTTAATAAAAACTCAAATAAACAATAAGCAGATGATTTAGCATTTTGTTCCCAACTGCACCGAAAATGAACCGAACCATGATCTCAAAACGAGGTACGAATCAAACCGTGATTTTTGTACCGTTACACTCCTAGATATCAGTATGAGTATTGGTGCGTCCCTAGTCTGAACCATAGACTGTTTAAAGAAGTGGACTAAGGGAGTGTGATGTCAACCACTGCAACGCTAGAGGTTAAAGAAGCAAATTTGGAGCCATGCTAGTGACAGGAATAGGAATTTATGTACAAAACAGCAAAATAAAAACACCTGGATCATGTAGAACGCATTAATATGAACATTTTAAGACCAAAATGAGAGAGGGGTGACGGTTTTTCGATGTAAAATCAATTGGAAACAATCAAAAAGAGTCGAGAAAGCGCATTGTAGTGACTATTTGGTTCTCTATGTCCATTTATAAATACAGTCTATGGTCTCAACATCACCTATGCCATGTTAAAATTGTAGTTATGGTGATAATTAGAACCACGTTTCAGAAATCTCAATGTAAAACTTGTTCTCAGATGACACTTCTATACGCTATTTGTTGAAAAAAAAGCGAACGGTAAGAGCTTAAATACTTTATAACTGGCTTTTTAACGGAAATTCGCTCAAAGGGTTGGTACCTGCGTGACCCTTTTGAGTGAATAAATGACGCAACAACATGAAGATAAAAATTTAAAACATAAAAATGAAATACACGTATTCATTTTGCATAGTACTTAGTTTTGAATCCTGACTATTCCACATATTCTTTACCATAATAACCACATTTACGCAGTTCCTCTGACTGGGCCGATCGTAGGTAGGTTTCAGAATCTTCAGCTCCGGCTCCTTGTTGTTCTTTCGGACGCTTTAGATCACCTCAACCCTGTCATAAAAGTTTATCCATGGTTTTGCTTCTCAGCGGAGGGGCACCGGCGTTGGGGTTGGACGCCGAGATCTTGCGGCAGACGGTGTTGGTGTTGGCGCATCGGCAGCCGGGTCGCGTGGCTCTGTCGTGGGCGCACTGGCACAGGGCGAGGCACAGGCGGGCCGGGGGGTAGCAGCACAGGCAGGGCAGGCAGAGGGCGAGGAAGGCCATGGCGCTCCAGCGGGAACAGGAGTGGGAGGAGGAGCAGGAGCACGGCCGGTCGGCGCAGTTCTCCTCGTCGTCCTCGGCGGAGCAGTGGTAGAAAAGTCCCTTGACGCAGCACAGACACGTCCCGTACTCCACCAGGCTTTCGGGGGAGCAAAGGCAGCGCTGGTTACATGCCCAACACGAGGGGAGACGGCGTGGGGCGCAGCACTCTTGGCATTTGCAGCGACTACAGCGTTCACAGATAAACATGTGCTGTCCGACTTCATCCTCGGTCAGGCCCTTCGCGAAAGAAATGTCCTGCTTTATATCCGGTTTGGGCTGGGAGCGCACCACGGAGCCTAACCCGGAGTGCGACGGGGTGAGGCCGGCGAGCAGACGCTGATCGGACGCCGCGCTCGTTCGTGACAAAGTGGAGCTGACGGTGCTGGAGCGGCTCAGGTGGCTGAAGTGGGGGTGCTGTTGGTGGCTCTGGCTGCGCGGCAAAGCGGGAGGGCCGTGGACTGGGTAGACCCGGTCCTCGTGCACGTAGAAGAAGCCGGTCTGGGGTCCAGGGTCGAACCCCGCCACAGGACGCTCCACGTAGTCGTTGTTGGCGCGGATGGCCCTGATCTGGTCCAGAGACAGCACCTGGTCCACGCCGTCCGGGTCCGTCCTGAAGGAGCGAGGGTCCATCACGGAGAGTCCCGGGTCAGAACCGGGACCGACTGCACCCCAAAGTCACGGGACGTCAGACAAACCTGCACACAGACAAGGGAAGGGTCAGTTAGAAGTAGAGATCAACTGAACTGTTTTTGTTTTCATGGAAGATGCCGATGACAATTGTTTAGAATCCAGAGCAACCGATGGTCGATAACCTCTGCTGATGATTTATTTATTAGATTATTTTATTCAGACCAAGAGTTTGTTTTCATACCTGAGGTGGTTGTTCTGCTGAAGATTGTTTGAGGATAGATGCATCAAAAATCTCTGACTTCCGGTCATTGCACAATGCATACTGGGAAGGATTTTCCGAAAAAGTGAGCCATGTTTGTTTTCCCAGTGGGATGTGTCTATTGACAAAGTCGATCTTTTCAAATCTTTTGAACCATATCACTTTTTGTTTCTGGTTCTGATATTGTCATATTTTAGTTTGGGGATTTGGACATCGTAATTGTGTTGTTGTTGGATCCTAACAGGGGAAAACGGCTCGAGAAATTTGTTTGCAAACTCCATAAATGCAAAAGTGAATCAGATGTGTGTGACTCAAACCTCTGTTCAAACTGTTTCTCTTCCCAACGGAATTGAAAAATAGTGAAAGGTGAAGGTGATGGGCAGGATTGATCCACAGGAAGAACCAAAAAGGAAACATTTGTCTGACTAAGAAATCATCCCGAGTTTACAGAGAACATTTTGTATGTGGAGCGACAACAAAACAAAATCCCGATCCCTCGCTCAACCTCGGTTATGAATTTAAAAAGTCAACGCCAAAGCGAAAGGCACCAACTGTTCGCAAACAAATTTCTCGAGTCGTTTTCCGCTGTTAGGATCCAACAACCACACAATTACTGTGTCTGAATCCCAAAACTAAAATATGACAATATCAGAACCAGAAACAAAAGTGAAAAAATTTGAAAAGATCGACTTTGACAATAGACACATCCCACTGGGAAAACAAACATGGAGGTTTTATACTCACTTTTTCAGAAAATCCTCCCCAGTATGAATTGCGCAATGACCGGACGTCCGTCTTGATGCATGTATTGGATTAGATATTGTTTTAAATATAAAGGTTAATCAAGGTAGAAAACAATAAAAATAAACTGTAACCATTCAAGAAGTTAGATTGGTCATGTGAAAAGAATTTTATAAGATAAGACCAAATGACCAAGTGTGTAGGTTTGCACAGGGACGTGTCACAACCAATATTTGGGGAAGACAAAATAGTCCCCACCAATATTTGCCTTTTTTTTTATAAATGGTCCATCTGATGCAAAAATAACTCTTTTCACATTTTAGCTTCTGCACATAAACAAACACAATTTGGGTTTTGGAACATCCATTACACAATAGTTCTGAAATCCCAGACCAGGAACTATGAAAGACCGACTATTGCTCCTCCCCCCGCCCGTCCTGAGAAAGCACAGGCTCCGCCCTCCAAACGTGACGTAGGCTCTGAGTGAGCCGCCCTTCCTCTGCCCATCTCAGGGAGGGAGGGGGACACAGGCGTGTGCTCTGATAGCGGCAGGAATAAACTTTTATTCATCATGGAGACAGAGCGCGTTCAGCATTTTAAGACCACAATGAGAGAGGGGTGACGATTTTCCAATGTAAAGTCAATTGGAAACAGTCAAAACAAGTTGAAAAAGCAAATTGTGGCGACTATTTGGTTCTCTATGTCCATTTATAAATACAGTCTATGGTCTCAACATCACCTATGCCATGTTAAAATTGTAGTTATGGTGATAATTAGAACCACGTTTCAGAAATCTCAATGTAAAACTTGTTCTCAGATGACACTTTTATACGCTATTTGTTAAAAAAAAAAAGCAAACGGCAAAAGGTTTAAGTACTCTATAATGAATTTTTTACTTAAATTCGGTCAAATTGGTACCTGCGAAACCCCTTTGAGTGAATAAATGATGCAACGACATGAAGATGAAAAATTAAAAATGTAAAAATGAAATACACATCTTTTTGTATAGTACTTAGTTTTGAATCCTGACTATTCCACATATTCTTTACCACAATAACCACATTTACGCAGTTCCTCTGACTGGGCCGATCGTAGGTTTCAGAATCTTCAGCTCCGGCTCCTCGTTGTTCTTTCGGACGCTTTAGATCGCCTCAACCCTGTCATAAAAGTTTATCCATGGTTTTGCTTCTCAGCGGCGGAGGGGCACCGGCGTTGGGGTCGGACGCCGAGATCTTGCAGGTGTTTGATGATGTTATGTGTTGGATTTTGAGGTGATTTTTCAGGTGCACGAAGCTCAAGCACCGCGTCGACATCAGCTGAACATTACTGATTGGTGAAGTATTAATAAACGCTAAATGCTGCGGGGTGGACGTGGTGGAGCAGGGGGAGGCGGGCGGGTGTGAAGTTCTTTCTGCTACGTCAAACGCGTCATAGGTGCCACGTCATCTTTGTAGCAGCTTTAGTTCGTTGTCATGTGGGAGGGTGACAGAAATACGCTGCAATTTGTTATAAAAAACACCGAATCAATCTAAAAACACTTCAGCGACAAATACAAGGCCCACACATCACTCTTAGAAGGTAGAAAGCTCTGAAAAGTTGATTTTGCATGAGATGGGCCCTTTAAAAAAAAGAGCGGGTAAAATAATGGGTGTGGCCCCAAGCTCACTTCAGCAAATTTTTGAGGAGACTGTGAGGAAGCTCGTCAGGAAGGTGATCAGTGACCCAACCCATGTTCTTCACAGTCAGTTTGAGTTGATGCCATCAGGCAGAAGGTTACAGGGTCCCAAACTGTAAACTGAACAGATTCAAACATTCTTTTGTGCCTCTAGCTGTTAATCTGCTAAACTCAGATAATGCAGTTAAAAAATAATTATAAAAGGTTTAGGGAATGTGCAATAATCAAAACTGCACATAGGTGTAGGGAATGTGCAATAATTAATAGAATACAAGAATGCAAGGGTTTGCCTGTTAAGAAAGATTTAAAGGTCCTGTTGGTGCATCAGTCGTGGTCAGACTTGGTCTCATATTTATTTTGTTCTATGGTGTTTGTTTATGTGCTGCTTTGTGTTGTGTTGTCCTGTTTTTTGATAAAGCATGTGACCCCCTGTCCCAAGACAAATTTCTCCCATGGGAGACAATAAAGGATGATCTTATCTTAATAAACAAACATATTAATTTATTTCAGTGTGGGCCTCTCCTGTGGATATCTGCGCTTCACATCAACGAGTAGAGCATTTATTTGTTTCAATTGTTCCAAAGTGACTACGCTGTCAAGTATTACATGTATCACAGATTAAGAAAATTAAATAAAAAACTGTAAAGAGTAGTGGGCGTGTGAAAATAGGGGTTGATCTGTCCAAAATATTAAAAGTAAATCATTAAAGATTCTTCAAACATGCATGAATCACAAAAAATACAACTTTGAGAGGGGGAAACAACTATAACACGGATAAAAGCTCTGATCTTGTAGAACAGGTCTGCATTAAATTCATTGATGTCGTGATTATACTGACAATTCACTGTCTCAAAGTTTCTCTCGTGCTCTGTGTGTGTCTGGAAGAACAGATCCGATCATAAAATGTGATTTGGAGGCTACTTAAACATGGCGTGGCCCGAAGCAGCATGTTTGTATTTTTAAGACAAATGAGGGAGAGTTGGTTTTATGAATGCTTCTGTTCAGTGTCAGGAGGGTTTTGCAGTTTATCTCTGATCTGCAGCTCTCTCCATTTGGCCTCATTTCTCTGAGAGCTCGAGCTGGATCCGCCCACCGGCTGTTTGGACGCCGTACAACAGCCCCTCGCCACAACGGCTCACGACCACACTGTGCCCCGTTATGAACATAGACTGGATACTGGTGCATAGAAATGGACAGAGATATCCTGCAAGGATCTGTGTTACAAACAGGAAGTGAGCATGGACGCGCTCCAGCTCCATCGGCTCTGGGTCCAGTTGACTTACATTAAAAAACCCTCTTTCTGTAACTGCATCAGTGAACCTCGTCATTTTGATGTGAAAATGTTCGTATTAGAGCAGAGGTCCCAAAAAACAGGACTAAACCAGGCCTAAACTAAGACTAAACCAGATCTAAATCAGGTCTAAACCAAGACTAAACCAGATCTAAACCAGGACTAAACCAGGTCTAAACAAAGACTAAACCAGATCTAAATCAGGTCTAAACCAGGACTAAAGAAGGACTAAACCAGGTATAAACCAGGACTAAACCAGGTCTAAACAAAGACTAAACCAGATCTAAATCAGGTCTAAACCAAGACTAAACCAGATCTAAACCAGGACTAAACCAGGACTAAACCAGGTCTAAACAAAGACTAAACCAGATCTAAATCAGGTCTAAACCAGGACTAAAGAAGGACTAAACCAGGTATAAACCAGGACTAAACCAGGTCTAAACAAAGACTAAACCAGATCTAAATCAGGTCTAAACCAAGACTAAACCAGATCTAAACCAGGACTAAACCAGGACTAAACCAGGTCTAAACAAAGACTAAACCAGATCTAAATCAGGTCTAAACCAGGACTAAACCAGGTCTAAATTAGGACTAAACCAGGTCTAAACAAAAAGTGCAGACATTTGGAAATAATCATAATAGTCTAATGAGAACTTAACAGAATGATGTATTTGTATGAAAGAGATTCTAAAATTCCATGACTTTTCCAGGCCTGTAAAGTTACATTTTCAATTTCCATGACTTTTCCAGGATTTCCATGACCTTGGGAAGCCTGATAAGAGTCAGTCTGATGCCTTTAAAGTATTTACACAACTATTAATCACTTATTAGTGCACAAAGATAAAATGAAACAATAGTAATGGACGTTTAATTACGTTAAATTTTAGTTTTTCAGCACAATACATATGATTCATAAATCCCTTGGTGAGATACTTTGACCAGGTTGGAGAGCGACTGGAATCTCCCGAGGTCCATGTTGGAGATTCCTGCACTAGAGTAAAACACTGGAAACAAAATAATATCTAGGTAAGTTAAAATGACTTAAATTGAAAAAGATTTGACTTTATTCGAGTCGATTCAACTTAACAAGTCGAATTAT